AGGGTCTTGTGGACAGATTGGAATCCTGGTAGAAGCAGCCAGTGCAGTGGAGGCCTCCAGAAATCTGAAGGCTGTGGATGCTGGCTTGGAGAGGGAGCTGGAAGGACAAGATGTTGCTTTTGGCTAAATAGCAGAGAGAGAGGAGGGGGGAAGAGAAGGAGAGAGAGAAGAGAAGGGGAGGAGAGAGAGAGAGAGAGAGAGAGAGAGAGAGAGAGAGAGAGAGAGAGAAAGAGGAGAGAGGAGAGAGAAAGGACATGATGGATTATGTTCTTCCATGCTGCCCAAGGCATGAGCCTAGGAAGAGAAAATTATGAGGAACAGAAGAGAACACCCTCTAGGAGGAGAGGCTGTAGTAGCAGCCGCTCTGCCTCACTCACTTTGTAGTTGAGATCACATGGATGAGAACTTCAAGTGAGAATCTTGTCCTAAGGGAAGCATGTCCAGGGGATTGGTACAGGTGCCTAATATAGAACTTAGAGGACAGTAGGGAATCCACTGGTGCTAGCCTGGCAGCAACCTCACTGGCTGCCAACATTTAAGCACTAAACCTGAAATCATAGGCTGCGAGAGCTAGACATTTCCTGCAGGGTTGGGCCTGTGGGCTGCTTTGCTGTGGTTCCAAGGACAGTTATAGGGAGGGGTTACACACTGGACACAGATTTCCAAGGATCTTTTTTGTCCTTAGTTTTCTGTTCTCTGGTCTTGGATTTTAGCCTGCTTGGCATCTTCAGTTATGATCTCTGTGACCTCTGAAAAACACAGAAAAAGATTTTCTTCTAGAGTTGGTGGCTTTCACTCTTCAGGCGTCTGCCTGGTCCTAGAGCCACCCCACTCCCCGCCGCACTTTTATCTTGAAAAAAAGAATGGCCTATAGGGTCTTTTCTGGTTTCTTCTGTTATGTACCAAACACGTCCTACAAATGGTGCCATCTCCTCTGTTAAGGTCCTTAGGAAAATTCAGTTGGCAATCAAAAATCTTTGTTTTCAAGTTAACAATGCTAGCTGGGCACCGGTGGTTCATGCCTGTAATCCTAGCTCCTCAGGAGCTGAGATCTGAGGATCATGGTTCAAAGCCAGCCTGGGCAGGAAAGTCCATGAGACACTTATCTCTAAATAAACACCAGAAAACCGGAAGTGGCACTGTGGCTCAAGTGGTAGCACGCTTGCCTTGAGCTAAAGAGCTCAAGGACAGCACCCAGGCCTAGAGTTCAAGCCCCATGATGGACCAAAACCAAAAAATTAGTGATGCTGTTGAAGGGGGAGGCCTAGGTTCCTTAGGAGCTTGTATTGCTGCCTCTCTGAATGATCTCATCCTTTACATCCACCATTTCCTGGGTTTTATGAACCTTTATCAGTTTATTGTTTATCCTTATAAAAATCGCCCAGTTCCATTGTGGAGTATTTGGTGGAATGATAATGTGTAATAGAAAATTGGAAGGACATAGCTCGCAAGATCAATAGAAAGCCCATGGATTGGAAGAAGATCTTCACTAGCCATACAACAGACAAGGGTCTCATATCTAAAATATACCTGGAACTTAAAAAATTAAATCCCTCAAAAACAAATCCTCAAAGAAACAACTGTCCAATAAATAAGTGGGCTAAAAACTTAAAGAGAAACTTCTCTGAAGAGGAAAGAAGGATGGCCAGTAGACACATGAAGAAATGCTCAACCTCTCTAGCCATAAAAGAAATGCAAATCAAACCAACATTGAGATACCACCTCACCCCAGTTAGAATGGCTATAATCAAGAACTCTAATAACAACAGATGCTGGAGGGGATGTGGCCAGAAGGGAACTCTACTGCATTGTTGGTGGGAGTGTAAACTTGTTCAACCACTTTGGAAAGCAGTATGGAGGTTCCTCAAAAGACTCCACATAGAGCTCCCCTATGACCCAGCAATCCCACTTTTGGGCATTTACCCAAATGATCACAAACAAGACCATACTAAAGCTACCAGCACGACTATGTTTATTGCAGCATTATTTACCATAGCTAAGATATGGAACCAACCCAGATGCCCCTCAGCAGATGAATGGATCAAGAAAATGTGGTGTATATACACAATGGAATTCTATGCCTCCATCAGAAAGAATGACATTGCCCCATTTGTTAGGAAATGGAAAGACTTGGAAAAAAATTATATGAAGTGAAGTAAGCCTGGTCCAAAGAATCATAGGTCCCATGGTTTCCCTTATTTGCAATAACTAGTATATGTCTGAGTCAAGCAGAAAAGGTCAGATAAGTTGATGTTAGGGGAATGAACCCCAAGATAAGTATTCAAATATATTTTTTGTATTTTTTCCTTTCATGCAATTGTTTCTAACATATTTTTAAGATGAGTTCTTTGTTGCTATGTGTGTCCCTCCCCCACGGTATAACCCATGCTTTCACTGTATTTGATGTTGGTATAATTTGTGGAGGGGAAGGGAAAAACAAATTGTTTAACTAGGGATACAGGTGGATCCATTGCAACAATGAGATGTACAAGTCGTTAAGTCGAAAACCGAACTTTACAACTTTGGTGGGGGTGGGGGGAGGATCTGATGGGGTCGGGGCGGGGGAGTATGGGAAGGGATGGAAGGAGGCAACAATGCTTGATAAGAAATGTACTCGTTATCTTGCCCATGTAATTGTGACTCCTCTGTATGGTATTCTCACAATAAAAATTAAAAAAAAAACCACAAACAGTACAATTAAAAAAAAGAAAATTGTTCATAACATCAGCCCCAAAACTGTGTGGATTATGACTGTTAATGGTATTTTGTAATATATATCCTTGGAAGTTTTCCACTAATACAGGTGTACTGAAAATAAGTGAGATTAGTATTGTAGTGTGATTTCTACATCTTGCTTTCCAAACACTCAGTTTTTCTCTTTGAAAAATCATTTTCATTAAAAAGGGAATTGTTATTGCATCTCAAGTGCAAATATACTTTAAAACATTGAGAATTTTAATGAAATAAGTTCAAAACTTAAATATACAAAGTATTTTTCAAACACAACCATGGCAAGTCAGTCTTGTGTGATCAGGAGCTATGTTTTCTTCACTTTTTATAATATATACAAGCAGAAGTACTTATCATTTAGTAGTTGATCAATGAAAATATGTAACAGAATAACTAGTTTTCAGAGTATTTTTATCTTTCTACATGTGTATATCTATGTATATATGCATATGTATGATTGTTGTTTCATAACACTAAAGTATATGTATATCAACTGCTTGCTTTTACTTGCCTCTCTCTCCTTTCTCTTTCATTGTTAATAAGTTTTCTACATGTGTGGTTTTCATTAAGCATTCCCAGGAAAGGAATGACTTTTGTCTATTTTGTATTAATTTTCTAATAGAAAGCAATATAAAAGAAAATAAAAGCAAAGAAAAAAAGATTAAGTGTATAAGAAAGCATTTGATAACACTAGGCTAAGTCCAGACACGAGAGATTGAAGCTTAAAAAAATAGTAAACATGAGTACATTTAGTCATCCTGAGGGATATCAACTAGGTAGAAATAATTTCTAGGTAGATGAGGAGAAGGTGCGTCTAATTAGCTGTAGGTCATCTGATGCCTTGTCACCAAATGAAACATTGAAACAGTTTATTTTTTTTTTTTGGTGCCAGTCCTGGGGCTTGATCTCAGGGCCTGGGTGCTGTCCTTGAGCTTTCTTGCTCAAGGTTTATTCTATCACTTGAACTACAGCTCCACTGGCAGCTTTTTGGTGGTTAACTGGAGATAAGTCTCACTGGGTTTCCTGCTTGGACTGGCTTCCAACCCTCATCTTCCGATCTCAGCCTCCTGGGTAGCTATGATTACAAGCCTGATCCACCAGTATTGGGCTTAAAAAGTTGTAACATGGATGCCAGATTTTAGGTTTATGAATCAATACATTTTTAGCTTACTGAAATTAGTACTCTCTGTGCTTGCTCAGGCTAGGACTCTAGCACTTGAGCAACATTTACAATTATTTATTTATTTGTTTGTTTATTTTTGTGCTGATACTGAGACTTTAACTCAGGGCCTGTGTTCTATCCCTGAGCTTTTGTGCTCAAGGCTAGTGTTCTACCTCTTTGAGCTACAGTTCCATTTCTGGTCTATTGGTGGTTAGTAGTAGGAGGTAAGAATCTCATAGATTTTCCTGCTTGGGCTATCTTTGAACTTGATCTAGGCCTCCTGAGTAGCTAGGATTACAGGCATAAGGCATTGATCCCTGAATATTCTTTAACTTGCTTTTCACACAGCGTCTTGAGTTTTAGCTGGTGCCATCCCCAGATATACTCTTTGTACTTCTGCCACTGAATAGCTAAGACTTAAAGGCCTGTACACTATTACCAGATTATTTTTTGACATATGCTTTTGCTTAAGGATAGCCTTGAATTATAAGCCTTCTGTCCCTGTTTCAGAACTAGTTTGGAATACACATATAATCTCAACTAATAATGCTTGATGGCCTGGCAACAGCACTGGTGTAACCCCACACAGGCACTATCTCTTCAGTGTCCCTATATCACTTCTATAAGACATTGAGCAGTAATGGTACAATGGATACCACATGTTTTAAGAGTTCTCATATATAAAGGGAAAATAATATAATCTACTTTTGATGTTTTTTGTCTTTTCACAATGTCAGACTTAACTGAATAACAATAAATTTACAAGCTTTGTCAATTTCTTTGATGTTAATTTGCCAAGTACTACTGAAGTGATTGGATAGTAACCTACTTTTTAAAGAGAGAACAATATGGAGGATGTGAAGTCATTTTAAAAGGTGTTACCAGGGAGTTACAGAGTAGAAGCATATGTGAGAGGGAGAATTCATAGCTGTGGGTAAGCTGGGTAAGTGAACAGTTTGGAACAGTTTGGAATCCTGGTGGGAGCAGCCAGCCAGTGGAGGCCTCCAGAAGGCTAAAGGCTGTGGGTGCTGGCTTAGAGAGGGAGTTGGAAGGACAGGATATGTTGCTTCTGGTCAAGTAACAGAGAAGGAGATAAAGAAGGAACATCATGGATGATAACTCTTCTATGGTGATGCTCAGGGAGGAGAGACTTAGCAAGGTAAGAAGAGAACACCCTTTAGGAGAAGAGGCTCCAGTAGCAGTTGCTCTGCCTATTCTCTTTGCAGTTGGGAAGTATATGGATGAGAACTCCAAGTGAGAATCTTGCTCTAAGCCTTGAGTAAATAAGAGGAACATGCCCATGGAATTGGTACAGGTGTCTAAAGTGAACCTTAGAGGACAGTAGGGACTGGTGTTATCCCCATAGTCTACAAGTAGCCACAGAATTAGAAGAAAGGGTAAAAGATTCTAAGGAGGCAACATGGGAGCAACCTTGATGGTCACCAACATGCAGACTGGAAATCTGCCAATCTTAAGAGCAGCTGTATATTTCTGGCAGGGTTGGTCCTGCTTACTGCTGTAGCTATGATTCCAAGGGTCAGGTATAGGGTTCCTTGCTGAAATCAAAATGCAAGACACAGTTTTTTGTATATCAGTTCAGTCTCTGGTCCTGAACTTTACCCACTTTTAGGCTTCTCCAGCCATGATCTTGGTGGTCTAGACAAAAATGAGTGAGAAAGATGGATTTTCCTCTGGAGTTGGTAGCTCTCTTCAAGTTCTGTAGATGGCAGTTCTACTGGATACAGTGGTCCTAGACCCCTATTCACTCCTACTCCTTGAACTTGAATAGAATGTTCACAGCTTGTTTTCTGGAGAACGTACTGCTTCTTCTGTTATCTGCACCCAAAAAGTCCTGTGGGTGGCATTGTCACTTCTGCTGAGGTCCCTAGTAAAATTCAACATCTGGAATCAAAACTGCAATTTCAAATTAGCAGTTCTGTGGAAAGGCTGCCTGGATCACTTAGTAGCTTATATTTCTGCCTCTCTGAAAAAGTCTTGTCCTTTATCTGGGCTTTATGCATTTTTATAAATTTATCCATATGGCAGTCATTCTGTATCACTGTGGAAAATTTCATATGTAATAATAGAGAGAAAGGCAGTCTTAACCTCAGTCCTAAGACTGTGTGGACTAAGCCATAATTGTGAATGGTAGTTTTGATAGATTTCCTCAGAAGCTTTCTATTCCTACAGGTGTGTGTAAAGCAATTGAGATTGATAGTACATCATGGTTTCAACAACCATTCAGCTTTTAAAATGGTTTTACACTTTAGAAAATAATTTTTGTTAAAAGATGGCTGCTAGAAATATGGAAGTGGGAGGGGAGGAAAGAAAGGGCAATAGAGGGTGTGAACATGATGATCAAAGCACATTAAGGTCATATATAAAAAACCTCTGTATGGACAAGTAATATATGTTAAAATAGATAAATAATAGTCATTTTGTTGCAGATGCAAATCATACTATGAAATGTTGAGAGTTTCAGTGAAATAAGTTCAAAACAGTCTAATATTCCAAGTGTTATTATTTAAAGACAACTATAAGATAACCATGTTCCCAAGGTAACTTATGAGGTTATGAGCTATGTATCTAACCAGCTATAGGTCATTTGATATAAACTTACAAAGCATTTAAAATGATTTAATACATCTTGATTTTACATCGATGACAATTTTAAGTGAGCTTATGAATTAATAGATTTTTGGCATGCTGTGATTTGAACTCCCTGAGTCTATTAAGACTAGTACTATAATCCTTGAGCCATATCTCCATCCTTTTATTATTATTTTTAATTGTCAAGTTAATGTACAGAAGAGTTAGTTACATAAGAGAATAAGTATATTTCTTGTCAAACTTGTTACCACTTCCCTCATTTTTCTCCTACTTTCCCTCCCTCCCAATCCCCCTCAACCAAGTTGTACAGATCATTTCCAACAGAATGTCTTGTGAATATTGCTGTTGCATTGGTTTCCCTCTGTCCTTTGTCTCACCATTCTGTTGTTACCCTTCCATTCCCTGATTCAGGTAAACATATATACAATGCCAGGGTACCAAAATCAAATACAGAAACAACAGAGGATATACCATAAGGGGAAGAACATACAAAAGAAACAAGAAATCACATGGTACATTAAAAACAACAACAACAAAGGAAAACCTCTTGTGTCCATGTCCTGGAGTTCATTTCACTTAGCCTCATCTTACATGGTCATATGTACATAGCTGTTGAGCTATTCTGCTCATCTGCTAAGATTATCCTAGATATATAAGATTTATTGCAAATAAGGGAAGCCATGGGACCTATTTTTCTTTGGGTCTGGCTTACTTCACTTAATATGTATTTTTTCCATCCCTTTATTCTTTAATTGGCTTTTTACAAGGGGCTTGAGCTTTACTTCATGTTAGTGTCAAACATGCATCTATTACTTCTGCCACTTGAATAGTCTTACAGGCCTGACGTACCATGCCCAGCTTGATTTTCTGACATATGATTTCTTGTTTATTCCAGGGTTAGCATCAAACTGTGACTCTGCCTCAGAAATAATTGGGAATATAAGAAACTTTTTTAATGGAACAATGTTTCAAGGATATAACCACAACCTTCTGGTGATAATCAAATAAAGCAACTACTATGACATAATGCTCACTGTCATGGCAACAGCATAGGCCTAAATGGACACAGGAAACATCTTTTCAGTGTCCGAATACCTCATATGTCTTAAGATTTATCATATGGAAGGAGAGAAAGTCATATAACCTAGAATTATAATTTCCAGGAATGAAGATGTACCAAATTAGGTAGAGTTTTAAAATATTGGCTCTAAAATTCTGTACTTTTTCCCCCTCCAGTTACAGTTATTGTTATTAAGGATTTGGGAAAGTTAAACTTATACTTGTTTGTGCTAAAGGGTTGTGTATGTGTGTGTGTGTGTGTGTGTGTGTGTGTGTATGTATGTGTGTACACGCACGTGTGTGCATGCACTCCAGTACTACAATTTAAACTCAGGGCATGGGCACTGTCTCTTAGCTTTTTGGCTCAAGGCTGGTGCTCTACTTCTTGAGCCACAGCTCCACTACTGGCTTTTTGGTGGTCAACTACAAATGAAAGTCTCATGGACCTTCTGACCTGGGTGGCTTTGAACTCCTGAGTAGCTAGGACTATAATCATGAGACACTAGCAACAGGCTTATATGACAATTTTTGTATTTTCTCTCTCAGTGTCTGGTGAAGGAAGATTCCAACTTTATTGGAGTAGCAGACAGTGACTTTCATTTACTCATGCAAGATCTCACAGTTATACATTGGCACAGACTTATATCCTTGATGTGTCTAGAAGATCAGCTTGTGGATGATATAATTTTATCTTTCTTTTTCATTTTCAGGAAAAGGAGAATAAATAGCAATAAAGAAGGTGACCACCATGCCCTTGATTTAAAAAGGAGTAAGCAAAGTCCTGCCTTTCCAGATCCTGGGGCTGAACAGGTAGGGGATATGGCCACATAGCCTTTCTCCCTTTCATTCACTGCCTATATTGTCATTCAGTCCCCACAGTGAACAGAGCATCAAAAATATCACAAAAGTATTTTCATTTGACTGTTTCTTTGAGCTATAAATTACTAGCAGACTATTAAAGGAGCTTTGTAAAGTTTTTCTGCAAGAATGCTGACAGTAAATGACTAAGCACTGATCACTTTCACTTCCTGTGAGCAACAAGTGGAAGGACTGTCGCTCCATGTCTTCCCCTTGGATGAGAGCACCTCAAATATAGCCAGCGCTTTGTTATTCATTCAGCTTTTACCAACTAAGTTGTTGAGTAATAGTTACAGGTCCACCTGTTTTCTGTAGGTGAGGATTATCTACCTATGTTTCTACTTTTATTTTTTCAATGGATCAACTTACTTAATTTTAAAATATTTATAAATAGGCTATATTATTCAAGTTCTAGATTATTGCATTAAAGGATGAGAGTACAATTTTGGTGGTTGTGGGGCTTCAACTCTGGGCCTAGGTGCTGTTCCTGAGCTCTTCAGCCCAAGGCAAGTGCTTCTACCGCTTGAGCCACAGAGCCACTTCCAGTTTTCTGATGGTTAATTGGAGATAGGATTCTCACAGACTTTCCTGCCTGGGCTGGCTCTGAACTGCAATCTTCAGATTTCAGCCTCCTGAGTAACTAGGATTACAGACATGAGCCACGATTCCCTGGCTTGAAGAGTACAATTCTTTCTGATTCTGTTTTGGATTTGATTTTGTTTCATTGTCCTTAAATCCACTGCAAAACTATTGCTGATACCCTCTCAGACATAATTTCATTTGTGTCATCCATAGTCTACCATGAACTTTCTTGTTTGTGCCAGTCCTGTGGCTTGAACTCAGGTCCTGGGTGTTGACCCTGAGCTTTTTGTGCTCAAGGCCAGCACTCACTTGAATTGCAGCTCTACTTCCAGCTTTTGGGTGGTTAATTGGAGATAAGAATAACATAGACTTTTCTACCCTGGCCAATTTCAAACTTCCATCTTTAGATCTCAGCTTTCTGAGAAGTTACCATTACAGGCATGAGCCAACAACACCCAGCTAGTCATGAACATTTTTAAATAAGATGGATCTAGTTGCGTAAACACTGTTTAGATACTTGTGTTTGATGCACTGAGTTGATTAGCCTCAAAGTAGATCATAACACTTCCTGGTTTAAGTCAGAGAGCTAAAAGAAATGCAATACCAACACTGATACATACATACCTTAATTCAGATGTGGGTCCTTACTGAAACCACTTCCTATGGGCATCCAGTGTATGAAGCTGCACAAGGCTTCTCCAATATAAAAAGACAACAAATGATGTTACTTAAATGAAAAGCAATCTGAAACACACACACACACTATACTATGTCTACAAATAAGAGACCAACAAATGGTAAGCATCACAAATATGAATTTTGAAACACAGATTTCATGAATGGGAATCCCTTGGTGTGGATATTATAGCACATGAAAAAACATAAACACTAAGAAGACAGAGTACAATGTCCATGGGATCTCTCTATATAATTTTTGCACTTTTCTGTGAATGTATAATTATTTCAAATTATAAACAATAACCAACTTGAAAAAAATCATATGAATTTTTAATATGTAACTTTCCTCAAATATGCACAATGCCTTTAAGATTATATGTGGAGTTTGAATTGATGCTCAAGGACCATATATGTCTGCATTCAGTATATATGTGCAAAATTATTATGTATTTGTGTATATACATGTATGTAAGAGTGGGTATATGGATCTAGTAACTTATTTGTTACCTTTGAAATTATACCCAAACTTTACCATACATTTATGGCCCTGATTTCAACTCCATTTTGTAGCACTAGTTAATGACTTCCCAGGAGGATGAAAACTTACTTGTCTGATGCAGGTTATTGAAACAAATGGTACCAATATTCCCAGAGAATTTGTATAGATATTTGGAACTCCAATGCATATTTGGGACAATCACTCTACCACTGATTAGCTACATGACTTTTGGCAACTCAGAGATCTGCTTCCAGTTCAGTAAAGCAATGATTATTGATTCAAATTTATTTTACAGGGTTTTAGTGAGGATACAATGACCAGCCTCCCTGTGTACTTTGTAAACTGTTAACCCTGTATATAAGTTTGATGCTGCTCCTGACCATGCTGAGTAGAAAACTCTCACAAGATCCTAATAGCTACATGCTCCTTCTGTCTTTCTCCTTCCAGTGTTCCTACACTGATAATGAAAGGAACAGCAGCATTGTTAATAGCCCAGAGGCATTCAGGGCACTAGAAAGCAGCTTGACCATGACCACTGCTGATCTCAACTCAAATCTCCCTCCATCACTCCGTGAGAATGCACTGTACCAAGGTCCGTATATCTACATCAACCAGATCTTGAAGGAGGCTCACTTCTACAGCCTGCAGCAACGAGGGCAATATCCATCATGATGAACAACGAGCTCCTTATTCCAACCCTAAACTAATTCATAAAATTAACTGAATATGCACAAAAATGTCCTTTCTCTTCTTTGGACTATATTTTAAGTGACAAGATAATGGGCAATTGTATGAAGAATTTTGGTACACTAGTTGCTATTTCAAATAAGGATTTTAAGCAATTTTTATAGGACACATTTCATCTTGAATATTAAATTTATGTGTTGATAGCAGGATGCCAACTCATTATCAGTACATGGAGTTCATGGTATTTCTAATTCAGGCTAGTTTTCTAGAACTGTAAGAATTTCCCTGTCTAATAAGTTTTTAAAATTTAGTCTTTCCAATATGGCATAATGGGATTCTACTCATCCATCAAGAATAATATTGTACCATTCGTAAGGAAATAGAAAGACTTCGAAAATTTACATTAAGTAAAGTAAGGCAGACCCAGAGGTACATAGGTTGCATGGTTTTTCTCATTTGTGGTAGCTAGAATGTGCTTATAAATCTATACGTAAGCACACTGATGATAAAAATACACTATGACATGATACTCTAAGCATTCACACACAGTGAGACAAAAGGAGAATATTCTTAGGAGAGGAACACAAAGATGCAATACCTATGTGCATCTAATCATATAAAATAATGATTATTGACGTGAACTCCAAGAAATGAAAACATGATGTTTTTGTTTCTGTTTTTTTCCCCTTCATCTTGTTGTTTCTTTGGGTAATACCTAAGTGCCTGTATTTGTAAGCCTTTGCTTGAGAGTGTCAAGTCCCATAATAAATGTCTTATTTCTCTCTTAAAATAATAAAATGAGTCTTTCTTTAAAAACTTCAATAGCCTAGTAAAATGTGGATAGTTTTCATGTAAAAACAAATGAGAGGGGCTGGGAAGGTGGTAGAGTGCTTGCCTTGCATGCCTGAGGCTCTGGGTTCAATTCCTCAGCACCACATAAGCAAAAACAAAAAAAGCCAGAAGTGGCATGTGGCTCAAAAGTGGTAGAGCGCTAGCCTTGAGCTGAAGAGCTGAGGGACAGCGCCCAGGTCCAGAGTTCAGACCCCACGACCGGACCCCCCCCCAAAAAAAATGAGAATGAGAATATTGCCAGATTGTGAGTTAGTGTTGTCAACTATCAGAATTGGGATTCAGTTGAACACTGAAATGAACTATAGTGAAGGGAAATGGCTGGAATTTCTCTGCACTGCATACCAGCAACACTTACATACAGAGGAGGCTATGAGGTTTTTAATAGCTGTCTCTAGTAGCTTTTTTATGTCACCAAGGGTATTATGTTGCCTTAAAATGCTTCAAGAGATTCAGTACCCTGTGTCCTCTATATTCCTGAGAGTGTTCTTCAGACTCTGTGGAAATGCTGTGTAACTCTAACAAAGCATGTGATTAGCCTGACACCAGTGGGTCACGTCTATAATCCTAGTTACTCTGGAGGTTGGGATCTGAGGATCCTGTTGAGAAAGTCCATGATACCCTTTTTTTGTGTGTCCAGTTGTGGAGCCTGAACTCTGGGCAATTTGTCATACAGTGGGACACTGTGAATCATCACTAGGAACCATGTGTATTCCACTAAGGACATTCCCCCTGGGAGAACAGCATCTGGCCAGGAACCCCTTCCCCTATCTGAGAAGTATGCCATTTTTGAAAGGGCAAAGAGACCTCCAGAACATGTGGGTGGGCATACTTGCCAGAGAAGTGGTGCCATTTTTTTTGTTGGTTGTGGGGCTTGAATTCTGGGCCTGGGTGCTGCCCCTCAGTTCTTCAGCTCAAGGCAAGTACTCTACCACTTGAGCCACAGCTCCACTTCTGGTTTTCTGGTGGTTTATTGAAGATAAGAGTCTCAAGGACTTTTCTTCCTGGGCTGGCTTTGAACCGTGATCCTCAGATCTCAACCTCCTGAGTAGCTAGGATTGCAGGCATGAGCCACTGGTGCCCGGCTGGTACCATTTTTTGAAAAGGGCAAAGGAATCTGATACCCTTGTACCATCCCTCTCTGGTGACTAACAAAGACAAGCCTAGCTGGAGATAGCTTTGCTCCATAGCAGTGAGCAATGACAAGGTCCATAGCATTCCAGTCAAATTCCAGCAAGGCTTGTGGCCCGCTGAGCCCTTCAGAATTACAAAACCAAAAGTCTCTAAAATCTCACTGCAAAAACAAAAAACCAGACAGATCTTAAAACTGAGTATATTTCAAGGGTTTACTGAGAGTGGGAACCGAGGTACCAGCCAACCTCCCCGCCCCCACAAACACACACATATTGGGAAACCCTACAGATTCCAGTCATGCTGCAGCTCTGCCCATACCCAAGTGTGCTCTGCAGATAAGAGCCACCTCCTGTCTCTGAACTAGGGAGCCCCACCTTCTAATGCTTCCTAATCTAGGCTGGGAGGGGAGCTTCAGAGAATCTGGTCCTGCAAACAAGCTGAGGAGAATTCATATTTTCTCTTTGATTTAAAAGCTACAGACAGGCCTTAAAATCCTAGCTATTTCCCAAGTGTACTGAAGTGGGAATCTATGTACCAGCCATACTCTCATATCAGGAAGGCTTCAGAAATCAATTATATCCCAGCCCCCTGCACTTAAACAGTGCAGAACCCAACCTACAACCATCAGAGGTGCTCCCTATCAATGAAGTAAAGAATTCCACACCCTGGTACTGCCTAGAGCTTGGCTACAAGGACAGCTACATATCTCAGCAACTCATGCAGAGACTTCACTAAGATATTGCATGCCACACATCAAGAGACACAAGGTCCCTCAAACAAACTGTTTTGTATTAGTCTACTGTGAACATCCAACATGATAGGCCCATTCAGATGCAAGAAGCCTTTAGAACAGCAAATAGACCAGACCAGAAAAGAATATCTCCCTACCACATTGTATCCTCACAGGATCAACAGAGACCAAGGAAAGGATCATTAAAGTGGTCAGAAAAAAGACTACTTATTTACAAAGAAAAACCAGTCAGAATAACTACATGTTTCTTTCTAGTGAGAATTCTGTATTATAACAGAGACATGAGGATGTTGTAAGGTGAATCATCCCAGAAGCCACATTTTGAAATATAGAATATTGGAATCTTTATTATACAGTTAACAGGCTGCAGGCCGCCAGTTGTTACAAAGGCCTGCAGCACGCAAATACACATAACACAGCTAGGAAACATGCTAAAGAGGAAAGAAATAACAAAAACAATATCAACAAGCCAATTCAGCTCCAATGGAGAGCTGAACTGGGATGCCATAATGACTGGAGACTGGCCAGGAGACAGGACACAGGACACGATCGTGGAGACACATGGCATAGCATCCTGGTGGCTAGGCTGGTTGGGGCCTAAATAGGGTTTGTGAAGGGGGAAGATCCACAGGAAATCCCAGTCCCAAGCACTGGACTATCAGCTCCAGTAACCTATCAGCCAAGTGCCTGCTCCTGCCTCCAAGGTCCCAGGCACACCTGGGAGGCAGGTGATGAATGGGGCCATTTCCCTCCTCCAGCCTGAAGACAGATGCCAGACCCTACCATCCAAATATGTGTGTGGTCAATATGGGGCCAATCAGACCTGACCTCCTTACTTCAAGTGTTCTAACATAATAACCCAGGTTTTCCAGCCAACACTGGTAGCAGACTGCCTCCTCCTGAACTTGCCCCATCTTCTCCTGGGTAGCCACAGTATAAGCTGGTCTTTCTGAATAGAAGGAATATTTAAATACAGGATCTGAGACAAGAATAAGCACACATTTTCTCCCCAGGAAGCATTTAAGATCCATTTTTTTCTTTAACATAAGAATAATCTTTTATCCATCTGGACTTGGTTGACACACCTGCTTAATTGACAAGTGGAGTCCTACATTGGTGCAGGCTTGGAGGCAGGGGCAGGCACTTGGCTGATAGGTTACTGAATCTGTCAGTCCAGTGCCTGGGACTGGGAATTTACTGAGGATCTGCCCCCTGCGCTGACCTATTTTAGGCCGAGACCAACCTAGCAGCTGAACTCCATGCCACGTGTGTCTCCCTGATCGTGTCCTGTGTCCTGTCTTCCTGGCTCATCTCCAGTCATCAAAGAGTCCCAATTCAGCTCTCCATTGGAGCTTAATTGGCTTGTCGGTATTGTTTTTGTTATCTCTTTCCTCTTTAGCATGTTTCCTGGCTGTGTTATGTGTATTTGTGTGCTACAGGCCTTTGTAACAACTGGCGGCCTGCAGCCTGTTAACTGTATAATAAAGACTCCAATATTCTATATTTCAAAATGTGGCTTCTGGGATGATTTACCTTACAATACCATCTTACAGAACAGAAAAAAATCAAACTTTTATTCTACATAATCTAAATAAAATGAGTGGAGGATACTTTGTACGCATTCGGTCTCTTGGGAATGAAAAGAATGTAATGTTTAAAATATGAGGTCTTTTTTCCTTACTATTATGGAGTGTTTGTGAAGTAGGCAAGAATATAATGTAACATGCATAGAATTCACCCTGCTTACGTGTAACTCACTTTTCTTGACCCTGTAATTTATTCTACTTAGGTCTGAGTCATTAATTTTTGACAACTTGACTATAATAATGTGAATCCCCTTTGTGTTCCTTTGTTATCCCTGTATCCGTGTTGGCTTCTCTTAGCTCAGTGTAGGATACAAAATGCATTTACTTAGATAAGAATTCTTTGTTCCAGTCCTGAGGAGGACTTTGTGTATGTCTAGTCTATATTATTTGGACTTCTTGAGGACTTTGAATAATCCTTCTTGCTTCTTGTATTTCAGTCATGGTGCACTATAGAAAGTGCTTGATGAACTTCCCATAGTGATTGCCAAACATTTCATACATAACGCTAGTACATAGAAGTCAGCCAAATGCAGAATATTTGGCTGGCAGGGTGAGGTCCTCCTGTGATTCATTGGTATCTCCACAGGGAAGATTAATCAGGAGGATAATTATCCTATTGAATCACCAATTTGAAATCCAATGTCAAAAGAACCACACTCCCAAGT